CGAGGTGATATCGTCAGGGCTTTTGAGGTGGCCACTTCGCATAACAATATATTACATCTCCATGTGATCCCCAAACCAACGCTTTCTATCCAGCTCACACACAGTGATTTTCATTTTTTTTATAGGACATATTCAACCTTAAACGTTCTTGTTCATGTCCTGTCTCCGGTGCGGAAACAACTCCATTGTGCACACAGTGCCGATTGCGTACTTGCATGGAAAAAGCCTTGCGTCAGTGGGGTGCTCGACTTTCGCACCGGGCACTCCAGTCTTGGCTTTCGGTGGATCAGTCTATGGATATCCTGTTCAAAAATGCCAAAAGCATTGATGATATAGTACCGCGTAAGACATTCTCTTCCTGTGTTTATTTGTTTTCGGCAGTTGCCTGTGATGTTTTCCACTACACAATTAATCACAAGCCAAATCTGTTTCCTTTACTGTTCGACTACTTACGACCAATAAGCCTACTGTTCTTTTTGTTATCTTGTTCTCAATCATTTTCTCCATCCTTTTTTCGCGGTACGTCTTATCAACAATCTAGGTGCATTCCACTTGTTAAAGGAAACGGTTTTGAGGAGAATTTTTGGTCTGCATGCTGTTTGATATATCCGTTGTGTCGACAGTGCCTATCCAGTGACCAGTTACGTTTTTGTTTGCATAATCTGAGTTCGCAGGATACTACAAGTTTACGACCGTTGGGACTGTACGCTGTGTTTCAAAGTCGCGGATGGAAAAAACTGGAGTCGAATTAGTTGAGCGCGAATAGTTAGACAATCTTTCACCGTCGTAATCAGCGGAGTTCAGTTCAATTCAGTTTTTACAATCACTTGCACTTTCGTGCACCGGTTTTGGTTGCTGTCTTTTGGTGCCCCATTTGGATAAAAGAGCAGGATGAAGATTGGAATGTTGAAAGCAAATTCAAACGGAAGATGGAGAATTCATGTGGAATGGTGTTAGGGGAATAATGAATGAATGCATGAGCGCCACTGTTTGCGACAACCAGCCATATCAATCAGTGTCTCTAACCATCGGTAACCATCATCCAGAGATCCCTAGCCAGGAAGCCTAACGGGACCTATGTAACCTAGTCTCCTGGTTAGGGTTTTTATACCCTCATGCCAGGTCTCAGTTTGACCACCTTTGATCTGTTTCCAGCCGCTACCAGCCTTGGCAAATATCGCTCGCCGCGGCAACCTACCTGGTGACATTCTTAACAACGTAATCTACGGAGGTCGACCACTTGCTCCAATAGACAACCGCGAATGCCTAAAACTCTACATCAAACCTCAGCATTGTTCATCTGGTTACCCCACCAGAATCGTGCGATGCTACGTAGACAGCGGTGTTCGAACATTGAAAATCTACTTTTATCCTATTCCCGTAAAGGCCAATTCTCTGCACCATAGAGCAGGACTGGCCGAACTGCTGCAGGATACACTCGATCCTTCACAGGCAGCCAGATGTCGCGACGGCGCCACAAATGTCAGGAGTTGACAAATGCCAACCGAGTCTTTTGTATCCGCGCCGACACTTTATCTGTGATGCCTCCGCCGGGTGAGATATGGCTGCCCGGAAAGCAAAATCTGTCTACTTCCTCTACTACTTCCCCAGTTGGGTTGAGACTGGGTGCTGGATCAACCAAATCTTGTAGCAGCATTTTACACTTTGAAGGTGCAAAACGCATATCGAACATGGACACACTAGCACTCAAACTTTCCAGAAAAGCTTGCAACTTATCTGGATCTTCATTTAGTAGCACAATGTCGTCTGCATACTCTGGATCAGATAGTCTGCCATCTGGAAGTAAATCGGTACCGCTATCCCCGCACGAGGAAAAGGTTGTTTCAAGAATTGAATCTATCACGAAGTTAAATAGAAACGGAGAGTGGGCGACCCCGTCGAACACCACTTTCGGTGGTGAACTCGAGTGAAAAAGTGCCGTAACCTCGGACTTGGCTTCGGCTATTAGTATAAAACGATTGTAATATTGCGACTACCTTCTCGGGCACTTCCTTCAGAGAAAGACAGCGCCATAGTTTTGAGCGGTCGACTGAGTCGATCGAGGAAGACAGAGATGGTGGGTCTACGAAAGGAGTTTTTGTGTTCTAAAATTAGACGAAGAGTGAAGATATGGTCAATACAGCCTCGACCAGGTCTGATACCAGCCTGGTTCTCACGCGTACACCGATCCCGAGCGGTAGACAATCGACAGATTATGATACCAGCGAGAAGTTCAGATGCAATGTTGATTAAACTAATTCCTCTGGTTTTCACAGGAGGATCTGTCGCCTTTCTTGTAAATCGGTATTATTACCGATTCACACTATTCAGTTGGAACCTCTTCCCTCTGCCACACTGAACCCAGGAATTTTGTTAACTCTAATACGAAGGCTGGACCTTCATCCTTAAAAACGGATGGGGACAGCCCGTTGGGGCCGAAAGGCTTATGCCGTTTAAGATAGCTTATTTCCCGGGTGACCTCCATTTCAAATGAAGAACTGAGGTCAACTGGCAATATTTGCACAGTTGGACCGATTGGGGGAAAGTCTTGTATCGAAGGGGACCAGCTGAACTGTACCTTAAAATGTTCTGCCCAACGTTCAAGACGAAGTTCCTGAATTTGAATTAGTGTGCCGTCAGACTCCTTAATTACCTCACTTTCCTTGGTCCTGTACTCCTAATTAAACGAAAAAGATTGCGACTATTATCGATAGCCGCAGCCTTCTCCATCTCTCTGCATTTCCCTGCCCACCAATTNAATGTTCTGCCCAACGTTCAAGACGACGTTCCTGAATTTGAATCAGTGTGTTATCGGACTCCTCAATTACCTCACGCATGCTTTCCTTGGTCCTGCATTCCTAATTAAACGAAAAAGATTGCGACTATTATCGATAGCCGCAGCCTTCTCCATCTCTCTACACTTTCTTACCCACCAATTCTCGCGGTCATTCCTCAGACTCTTGATGATCTGGCGTTTAAGGGATTTGCGCGTTTTGTCGTATTTTGAATCCAAAGGATTGGCTCTACGAGCGTCCAGCAGGGCAACCTAGGTTGGGGAGACCCATCGTTTTTTATTTGATCATGCGCCAGAATTTGTCATTGTTTTTATGAACGTTTGGATCGCTTCCTTGATTGCCGACCAGTGTTCACTGAGCCCTCCGGATGATGATTGAGCTGAGAAGCGATCTGATAGTTCCGTCTTGAAGGCCGATTTGCAACTGTCGATAATACTGTATTGTGGGCATCCGTTTTCGGCGACTTTTCTGCTATTGTTTATCAGGCGTAGAGAGAACCTCGCTCGTAGCAGAGCATGGTCCGTGTCCACGGGTGTTCACCAGTAGGAGCAGAGGTCTTCCAGGGATCATATCCAGCGGTGGTTGATGGCAATGTGATCGATTTGAGTCCAGCGCTGTGAAGAAATTGGCGGTCTCCATGTAAGGCGGTGCCGTTTTTTGTGCGAGAAGTTCGTGCTTGACAGAAACAGTCCGTGGTCAACACAAAGTTGGAGTAGGCGTTCTCCGTTGTCAGTCCTGTTGGTTGGGATTGCATGCGAACCGCCAAGTAACCTGTG